AACGAGATTTGCTTTGTGATTTTCTGCAAAACACAAGAACACATCAATTGTTCAGTTTTGCCTGACCTCAGAGATGCAGCTTAAGCTCTGTGTCCTGCAATCTTCTCTCTCCCAAGCCAATGATGTGGCCTTTTCATTTCTCCTGAGTTTAGGTCTGGTGGTGTACAATTCCTACTCACTGAACTGCAAGCTGCAAACAAGAGGATTCCTCATAGGAAAGACCTGAAGGAAGAAAGTGAGGAGCTCTTAGAGCGGCATGAGGGGAAAGGGAGATGCAATATCTCTATTGAATAATCTCTGCTCCCAGTGATGGATTTTATTTTTCAGTTCCCACAGTTGTACATATAATGCATAGATACCAACTGCTCCAAGTACTGCATCAGGGTTTTGTGAGCCGGAGAAAGTACACGTGGAACAGAGGGAATGTGTTCTGCTTTGCTTTCCCACTAACAAAATGCCAGAAGGGATGGCCCCTGCTTTCCCCAGTGTCTTCCTGAGACCACTGTTCTCTTAGAAATGTGCTATGGCAGTGGAAGCAGAAACTTAAGGGGGTCCAGGGTACTTACTTGCAAGGGGATAACTCATCAGTTGCTGAAAACTGGTGTATGAGGTTGGCATGACTGAGAACTCATTTAGGCCCTAAAAAACTAACACCTGCCACGACTTAATGTAGTCAGCACTGCCATTAGGTTCAAGTTCTTTATTGTAGACACCTGCGTTACCAGGCGACGTGATTAGTTGCAACTTATTAGGTGGTTAGAAATGAGTGTTTATGGTATACATTTACTATACTATTAATTTTGTTTTCGATTTCTCACTGTAGGGGAGAGTTTCCCAGTCAAGGGTGGTACTGGCATACCCTCTGGCAGAAAAACAAGTTCTTACACACATTCTTCAGGGCATACTCTCTTCTGCTTCTCTCAGATGTGCTCCCTTTTGTTGTCTTGAGGTTCACTTGAGGATAGACAGAAAATGAAGAGGCCCAAGTTAACATGCAAGTAACAGGAACTCAGAAAGCCACAGGGTGGGTGACCACCCCCTCCCCTGGCCTCGGGAAACATAGCTGCCCTCACAGACGCTGCTTCAGGACCCATGGCCCCGAGAGGCCAACGGTTCCTGTCCCTTGATGGCCACCTGCAGCATTTGGTCTTCTTCCCACTGCCCCTGGTCCACAAGTCGTGCAGCCTGTAGTCGTAAGCCTCCAAGAATGGCATTTCAGACCCGCTTGCTCAACTGGAGTCAATTTTGCAATAGTAAAATGGTCTTAAAATAGGATTTTACTCTAGGGGAAAAATCCTCCACCAAATAGTCACAGTGCACTTTGAATGACTAATTTAAGCCATTACATTACAAAATAAGGGATAAATCAGGCTTTTCATAACACCACGGCATAGGAACAGTTTTAATTTTAAGAGTCAAGCACCTACATTAATCTGAGTCTAAAAGAATAGGCCCCTGATTTAAAATCTCCTAACATTCTTTCACACTTCATAAAACTAAAAATAAAATTGTCTCACCAAACACGGGCCTATTGGGTCCGGCCAAAATACTGTATTTTAAGGAAAACTGGAGCAAGAGGTCTCAAAACCGTGATGAGCCAGCAGATTGCAGTCTGTTGCCTTAATTGGTCTTAAATGTGCGGTGGGAGAAGAGAGACTATGGTTCGGTTTGCAGAGAATACGAGAGATTTATTCCCCTCCTTAAATCAAAAGCAGATTCCACGCCTCCCCCTAGCCCTCCGCCCCGCCGTCCCCCACGGGGTGGTGTGTCCCCACTTTGGGGTGTATTTTACTGGAAGCTGACAGGTGAGGCGAGGGTGAGTGCTGCCTAGCCCGCGGAGCCAACGCTGGGGCGAGAGCGGGCTTATTCACCGGGAAGGCGCTCAGCCTCTCAGCTGTTTCTCCCTCGCTGGCATTTGGAACTTGGTAGTCCTTTAGAGGGACAGATTTGGCAGGAATGCGCTTGGTACCCGCCTCCCTTTATGGGGAGGGAGCAGATTTGTTTTTAATTGCTATAACACCACCTTTATTTATTTAATGTAAAATAAAACTGACCCTTTTATGACCTTTGATGTGGTCTTTGATGTTGTATATTTTAAATAGCACACTTCCAAGTGCGGGTCTGTTGTTGTGAATCAGCAGTCTGCAGCCTGTTTTTTTTTTAACTTTTATTTAATGAATATAAATTTCCAAAGTACAGTTTATGGATTACAATGGCTCCCCCCCCCCCCATAACTGGGGAAGGAGCAGATTTATAATGACAGCTCACCCTTTATGGGAGGGGGGGCTGGGGTCGAAAAAGTTTCAGCCAGCTCCACCATGTCCGTTTCTTCCATGGTCAACATTGTGCCACCGACAGCTCTGGTGCCCCTCGGGGCCTCCCTGCCTCCCCTCCCGCTCCTCTGCAGGCTCGCTCTGGCAGGCGGAGGCACAGTTAAATTCCAGCACCTTCTCCACGGACGGCCCCAACTACTACGCGCTATTACTACGGCTCGCTCTCCCTTTCGCTTCCCCAGCCTCCCCGGAGGAGCCCCGCAGCACCCCTCCGAGAGGCTGGGCCAAGCTGGGCGAGCCTGCACCGGGCTCCAGCAGGGTTCGGGGCGCTCGGCGTCCTGCGCCAGGTCCTCCGCTCCAGGCACAAGCCCGGCCCGCGAGCCAGCGCCTCGCCGACACACACACACACACACACACGCACGCACGGATCCACGCATACAGTAGAGCTGTCTCGCTGCACATTCTTGCACACCGCCCCCTGCTCCCCCCACCGCGCTCCCGGAGTCGCTGAGCGGGCCGAGTGACAGGCGCGTCCCGCCAACCCGCGCCCGGCCGGGCAGGGAGGAGCGGCGCGCGGGGCCAACTGCGGCGCGTCTTCCGGCGCCCGTGGAGGCGGCGAGGGTGGGCCGCGGGGCGGAGCCCGAGTTTAGGAAGAGGAGGGGACGGCTGTCATCAATGAAGTCATATTCATAATCTAGTCCTCTCTCCCTGTGTTTCTGTACTCTGGGTGACTCAGAGAGGGAAGAGATTCAGCCGGCACACTCCTCGCGAGCAAGGTAAATAGAACTTACAACTCCCGTCTCCTCCTCCTCCTCCCTCCGGCCTCCCCGCCGCCGCCGCGCGCGAACCCCTCCGGCACCGCGCCGCCCTCCCCGGCGACTATTCATTATTACCCTAATTATTATTTATTGTGCATGCACGGAGACCAAAACAAACAGGCGGGCCAACCGCCGCAACACACACAAAAAAGCCCGCCTCTTCTCCCCCGCGGGCCTCAGGTGGAAGGCTCGGACGCCAGCTCCCGGGGCGGCTGTGGAAGAGACCAGAAAGTTTCGGCCGAACCTTGCCGTTCTAATAATAACCGTCGTAATGACTGCTTCAGGGGGGCGAGCGGGGCGGAAATCGCAACAGATCACAGCCTTGACCCTGGGTCTGGAGCCAGGGATGCGCTGCCAACTCAAGGTTGCAACACACACGCACACGCACGCACTCGGCCAGGTTGCGGTTCCACCATCCCCTGAAACGTCGGGTGGCGGGGGCTGGGTGGGTGGGTGGTTTGGGGCGGGGGGAGGTGCGACCCTGCATCCCGAGCCGTCTTCCCCGGAAGAGTTGGAAGGGGGACGGGAAAGGAGGGCGGAGGAGCCCGGGCGGGCGGCCGGGGAGCCGAGGAACGCGGCCGCCGCTCGCTTCCCGGGGAATGTTTAAAGGGCTGCGGCTGCGGCGCCGCGAGGGGGGATCGCGCGGAGGAGGCTGCGGCCGCGGCCGCGGGGTTGGTGCGTGCGGCTCGGAGGTGTCACCTCCACTCTCCGCGTCCCCTCGGGCGGGGATGGGGACGCTGACCGTTCAGCAGGCCTTGAGGCAAAGGCGCCGTCCGGAGGGCTTGCACTCGAGGTGCCGCGGGCGTCCTGCCCCCTGGGTACCTGACAGCAGCGCGGGCTCGGGTGCTAAAGTTCGGGTGTCCGGCCCCGGGGCCGCCTGGGCTGGGCGGGCGAGAGGAGGCACCGAAGAAGGAGATCGGAGGTGCCTGCCGGGCTCTGCAACCCTGCCCCCCCCCCCCGTCCGCCACCCCCACGGGTCTGTTTTCTTTTTGCTCGGCGGCTTCCCCGGGGCTGGCGCTGCGGGAGCCGCGGCCGCGGGGGCGCCGGTGCTCGTCCGGGTCCTAGGGGCGCGCTGGGATCCGGGAGAGCCGCGGCGGCTCCGGGCCGGGAAGGCCGTGATCCGGATAATCCTCTCTGCCTGACTGTCACAAACAGGACCCGCGCGCACCCGGGCAGCGGCGGTGGCGTTCGCCAGGAAAGGGGAAGGGCTGCGGTGGGAAGGGAATGGAGGGGGGTGGGTGACGAGGGCGGGAGGCGGGGAGACCCGGGGAGAGCCTCCTCCCAAGGATGACACGCACCCCTTCCTTCTCGCTCCCTGCGTGCGAGTTTGCCTTGTTCCCATCCCAACCTGGGTCACCCCGCGCCTCTGCGCTGCTCCTCCACCCGGCCGTCTTCCCTCCTCCCGTCTGCGTTGCAAAACACGGCCGTGCCATCTGCAAAGGTGTCGCGATGCACTTCCCCAAATAACCAGTCCGGAGCGCCAGCCCCCAGGCGCCTTTCGGCCCCAGGGCGCACGCCAAGCAGTGCCTCGGATGCCCGGCTCCAGGCCTCGCCTCCCGGCCGCAGTCGCGCGGCGCGGGGCGGGGCGGGGCGCAGCAGTGCGGGCTCCGGGGGAGACCCGCGCCCCGGCCGGGGCACTCGCGCCGGTTTCCGGTACACGCGGGGAGATCGCCTCCTGCCAGTGTCTGCGCGCTCGCCCCCGCCGCCGCCGCCGCTCGCCTGGATTGCATTATTATTTTTATCCGGGTTGCCGCTCGCTGCGGATGGTGGTGAGCGCGGGGCTTGGCCAGGCTGCTCGCGGGGTGTGGGGGAGGAGGGAAGTTGGACGTGGATCAGGAAGGAAAAAAAAAAGTTTGGCGGGGCTGTGAGTGGGGAGGAGGGCTGGGAGGGGGCGGCGAGCTCCCGCGGCTGGGGCCCGGCGCGAGTGTGTGTGAGTGTGAGTGAGTGAGTGTGTGTGTGTGTGTTGTGAGCGCCCGGCAGCGCGTCGGGAGCTGCGGCGCGCTCCCCCGGAGCCCGAGGAGGACCAGCGAGGGCTGGTGGCCAGGGCTGGTGGGGGCGGCGTGTTCGAGTGGCTGGGAGTGTGTGTGCGCGCGCGAGCGGCGGAGAATCAGGAAGTCACAGCAGCGAAGCGCACACAGACATGTTTGATCGCCGTGACATGACGCGCGCGAGGGAGGAAGCGGCGGCTACGGCGGCGGGGGCCGGGCCGCGGGCTCGGGCGCCGGCCTAGGGCTGCGGCTCGGAGGACTCGCTCCCCGCCGCGCTGCGCGCTGCCTCCCCACGCTCCACCGGCGCTGAGCCCCTTTTGTGTTCCGCGTCCCCCAGGTAAGGAGCCTGCGTCGCGGCCGCCGCGGTGTCCCGAGCTTTCCAGCTCTTTGCCTGCCAGCCCCCCTCGGGTCTCCGGTCTCGGCTTTCCTGCGAAGTCGGGCGGGCGGGGGAAACGGGTCCTCCGATCGCTGGCGTGGAAAACTTTCCAGTCGGAGGCACCGTGCACGGGGGGAACCGAAGGCCTCGGCGGCCACTGTCGCTTGTCAGGTCCTCGCCCAGGTCCGAGGAGTGTGAGTCGCTGTTGCAGATTCAAACTTCGGGCCTAAACGTGCCTCCAACTCTCGCAGGATTTACGCCGGCAATAAAATAAAGACCCAGAGCTGTCCGCTTGCTCTTGCCGGTTATTTGGGTCTTGTAAGGCGGGGAGGGAGGCTTGGGAGTCGGGGGTTGTCGGGGGTGTCGTGCAGAATCTCCTTATTCCGTGCCTGCACCGGGTGTTATGTAATGTTAGTAGCACATGGGTGCACAGCCCGGGAGCTGGGCTGCTCCCCTCCTTTGTTTATGTAACTTTTGGGAGAGTTTTCCAAGGTTGACGCCTTTTGTCCCTCTTCCCTAACCCTTGGAGGTTGGTGCTTTTGGAAAGAGCCCGGCGACCGGAGTTAGTGATTTTTTATTTATTTATCTTGATTGATTGATTGATTTTTGGAGAGGTGTCACCATTGTCTCCTTTCTGATCCTTAGGGAGGCGTGTATTCCTTTGTATGTGCCCTGTTAGAGCAGAGGAGAGCGTTAAGGAAGGCGTTGGTTTACTGCGTTGGGTGGTTCTTCATAACCTCTCCTACACTACAGTGAAATCTCAGACTTCCAGTCCAAAGGACTTAGAGCTGACACCTGGTGAGGGTGCCTGGCTTGTGTGAGCAGCGAGATCTGTGCTTGTGGGCTGATGAGCAGACAGTTCCTGTTCAACCACCGCAGGCTCAGAAAGCCCACAGCCGGGTGTGCAGGTACACTTCGGTGTCACGTTCAAATGTTGGCAGTAAGATCTCCCACCATTTATTCCCCAGACTGGGCGACTCCCCCGAAGCCTAGTGACCAGCTCCACGTGGTAGGCTTCCAGGTTTCCCCCAGCAGGCTGGTGAAGTGCTCAGAGGTGTGGCAGGGTTGAATCCCAGTTGGTGCATTGTCATGCAAATGGAGACACACTTTTTCTTTTCCGAATCTGTTTGCCCTTTTATGCTCCCCTGCTCCTGTGTTTTTTTCTTCTTCTTCTTTTGCCTTTTCTGATAGGCTGCCTTATAACTCACACCTTTGCTTCTAAGAAAAGGGTATTTGGAAACACCTGTTAGGTCCACAAGTTATTTATTAAAGAAGTCTAAGGAAAAAAAAAAAAAACCAGCTAGCTCGTGTGTCCATCTGTGCCTTGCTGGAGGCTTTATGGGGAGATGTGTGTTGGTAAAGAAGAAATGAGGGTCTGGGGCTGGAGGCCTGGGTGGCCTAGCGAGGAGGGCCTCCTTCCTTGCAGTTCCACCAGTCACATCCCAGCAGCGGCACTCGCTGCCCTGTGGTCGATCACAGAAAATACTCACCGCGAGAGCGTGTTCAAAGCAGCCTCAGATCTTTTCTTTTGTGCGCTTTAAAAGTGGGTTTTGAGCACTTCTCATCAAGTTTCTTAGAAAGTGCTTTGACCAACACCTGAGGCTTAGAATTGGCAAAAAAAAAAAAAAAAAAAAGAGAGAAAGAAAAGAAAAAGTACCTCTGTTTGTGTAATATTGTTAATGCTTGAATTGTGTTGGAAGGCTTTCTGACGGTGCCACTAGCAAGGAACACTTGTGCAGATAATTATTTGAAACTCTCATTTTTGTTTATGGGGAAGTCATTCTACATGCCGGAGTCAAAGCACATGCCCTTCTTTCTTTTCCAGAAGGTGATTGTGTGATCTGTTGCAGAACTGTGATATTTTGACATTGCATTTTAAGGGCTTATTGTGTACTGGAGCAAGCCATGAGAAAGAAACTTCCACGAATTCTCTAAGTGGTGCCGTCCTCCAGTGTTTCCATGGGGTGTTTTCCTCTTTAAGAAGGCTTCCTTTGTACACAAGGCCTTTGTCAGAGTCCCCTAGGTCAGCAGGTTTTTGATACTCCAGAGAAGTGAGACAGGGTGACCTGCTGGCCTGAGGACAGCTGAGTGGTCACTGCCCAGAGGCCAAGGACTCCTTTCCAGCCTTAGCCCGCGCAGGGAGGGAGTGTTCCTGGGACCTGACTTCACCACCACATTTGACTGTTTCTGGTCTAGATGATTAAGGTATGCAATTAGTAGGTTAGCACGAGGGACCTTAGAAAACCCCACACCAGCCCCATTTCTCCTCAGGAGCATTTCTGGTGCCCAGATGAGAAAACTCCCCTGATAGGAGAAAGGCACGCCTGAGAGCTACTTCTGCTTCTTCTTGTGTAAGGATTATCTTCTAAGTTGTCCCTTCTTCTTAAACTTGTGCTTGAGAGGTTTATTTTGGGGATGGGGGAGGGAGCAGGACGAGCCACTGAATTTTCCATCATCTCCGGAAGAGGTCTTATGGATTTAGCTCATTAACAAACTGTGGGCCAATCCCGAAGTAGTTGGCCATAGGAAACGCTGATGGTGGTGTTACTGGGTAGAGTACTCCAGAAGGCCAAGGCCAAGATTGTTTCTGTGTAGAGACCTGGCGATCTTGTACCTACCAGAGGGCAAAGGAGTCTAAAGATCTCTCTGCTCTCCTGCAATCCTGGTGGAAGATAATGTTTACTTGCCTAGGAGATTTATCACCAATTAAATGGCATCTTGCAACCTGGTTCAAAAAGCTTTAGTGCTGTATTACCGTTTACTATGATTTTACTGTTCCTCATGTTTATGTAACATTTTTTCCTGGGAAATGTTTAGGGTACGTTAAGTAGAGTTTTTAAGTAGTAAAAGTTTTAAAGATACAGTTAAAACTACTTGAATAATTATACCTTAGCAAAGCATATAATAGAGCCGATGAAATTAAGGAGATAAGTGGCTGGGACTTTTGAATGTTGGTTGTAAACACCTCGTTAATCACTCATTTGGAATCTTGATTTGGATATGGAATCGGACATTTTTGGTTTCTGACAGTAGTGGTACCCTTTTGGACTTCTGGCTTTATAGTACCTTACTATGTAACTGAAACCTTGTATGAACCTGATATTTTATTGCATATATAAGACTTTTAGGACATTCACACATTTAGTCAAGCTACATGCCTATATAATTTAAAACATTTAGAAACATCACAACATTCTGTTGTATTTTAGGTTGACAAGTCTTATACCAGTATATGACCTACATCTGGGCAAGTAAGTACTGTTTTAGAAACTTATCAGAAACTGACCTATTTTCAGTAAGGGCTGGCCTTTTTGTAAATTGATGAATGGAATTCACCCAGATATTGAAATAGATTTTAAAGTTTTGAATCCTTTATATGTCATTAGGACTCCCTCTTTTTTAGAATCTGAGTTCAGAATTTGGGAGGTAGCCCCTGGTGTTTATAATTAAGAGTGAGATGCCTCGTGGTACACCCACATCCTGTGTTGGAGTGCCTGGATTCAGGTCCCTGCTCTGCCTCCCATCAAATCTCCTGCTAATGGGCAAGTACGTGGGTCCCAGCCATTCACACAAAGAGACGAGGATAGACGTCTTGGCTTCTGGCTTGGGCCTGGCCTAGCCCTGGCCATTGTAGGCATTTGGGAAGTGACTCAGTAGACGGGGGCTCTTGCGGCCTGTTACTCTCTCTGCCTCTCAGATAAAAAAAAATTAAATATCATCTTTAAATTGCTGAATTTCTTTCTATTAAAAATTGGGGATTTTAAATTCTGTAAAAGTGCAAAAAAATATCTTTTAGCCATAAAGGGCTGTAACCTGTTGGTTTGCAGGTTATCCAAGGGCAAATTCCATGAGATGACATTTAGACTTTTGCATGTTTCTTGTTTAGGACCATGCCTTTCTTGACCTACTTGCTGTGGTGTATTCCTGTTTCTGCAGTCCCACTGAGAGATGAGTCATCCCGCCTGGGGCTTGAATGTCCACGAGGAAAGCCCTCTCCCATCCTTCTCCCTACACTTTTTTGAACTGGGCACCTAAATAGCTTTGCAAATATTTGCACCTATTATGTGGTTTGCTGTTGTGCTATGCTAAAAAAGCCATCAAGCAAAGTCCAAAATTCTGCAAAAAAAAAAAAAAAATACTATGTGATTGAGAATTTATGTATTTTTCAAGACTGTACTGGAATCCTTAACCATACAAATAGCCTAAAGAATGTACTGGAACATTCAAACATACAAATAACAAATGGTAAGTTGCACAGGCCATGTGATACAGAGAGGTCACAGTGAGCTTCCTTGAGTTGATGGGGTAGATACAGTCTTTGAGGTGGGGTAGGGTTGCAGTAGGAGGAGGGCGGGCGTGGAGTGATGGGTGCTGATGGCCCCAGATGAGATGAAGTCCTAAGATCACAGGGAGCAACCCTGAGGAAGTTGTGAGAAGACCAGCATACCTGTTTTGACCTGGTTGCCTGGGGCCAGAGGTTCCAGTTGAGGAGAATTTTCAGAAGATAAAGTCAGAGAGGTAGAAAGACTTGACTTCCGGGCGAAAGCCATGCATATTTTATCTAATGTCTATTGGAAGCTTGTCTCTTAGAAGTTGTGAGCTAGGGAATTCATGAGCTAACCCATAGTTTAGATTAGTCTGGTAAATTGTGTATGCAAGTCCAGGGTGGGAGCTGAAGCTGTGGCAGGATCCTGGCCATAATGCACGTTTCTATACAGAAGCTCACAAGGTTCTTTGTTTTATTTGATCCATATAAAAATTGAGGTTATCACTGGCCGTTATGCCTGTTTTTGTAGGTGAGGAACTTGAAACTCAAAGTGATTGAATGACCCTTTTATGAGAGGCTTGTAAATGACTAGTGTCTTTTTTATAAATTTTAAATTTTTTGAAGATTTATTTATTTGAAAGAGTTACAGAGAGAGAGGGAGAGAAAGAGAGAGATCTTCCATCTACTAGTTCAA